ATAAAAAACATGAGCAATATTCTCCTATCTTGCAAGCATGGGGCTACTTAACACATCGTTCAAATGTCCGAACCAAGCACACATGAGCATCACTATAGCTTTAAATACAAATATAGAGTATGCACCTACACATTTATTTTCAAACTCGTGTGTGTGTGAATTGGACATGTAATTTAAGCATTTATTCAACAAAATTACATTCGATTAGCTAGGCAAATTCAGCTTCGATGCAAAACTCACCAAAGGTCTCTCTTCACAATGAATCACAATCTAGTTATCCTGTCATGCTCTCCATGTGAATATGTGAGATGGAATCTTGGCACAAAATGAAGTATGCTCACATATAATCCAAAAATAAAGTTCATGCATGAAAATGAAATAACCTTGGCATAATCTCATAAAAGGAATGCTAGGGTACTAGATAACAAACCAAATTTTCTTTTTCTTTAAAAGTATGCATCTCCCATGCTTCTCTAGATCATTTAGGACTTTTAAGGGTTATAATGGGGCTTTGGGGTGATATTAAGGTAAATCAAATGAAGGAATGGGATAACAAAGAGGGTTGTTTCGAGTGAAAGACTTTTATTTCAAAAACACCTCCCTTTTAATGGGATTTTTAGTCTAACACCATCACCACACCATTTATTCTTTTTCTCACTTTCCTTAACATTTTCCTTTTATTTTGTCATTCTTTTCTTCTTTTCACCCACTTTTCCTCCTTTTCTTGGATTTTCATTCTTTTTCCATTCAACCCTTTGAGTTTTAACATCGTTCATCTCTTTTGTTTAAGTTTCCACACCACACTTCCTTCTCTTTTATGAACACTCATAGTCAGCTCTCAGAACAACCAAGGTGTGGTAAATTTTTACTTTTTTGCACTGGCTTGGTAACTTGTGTGGCATGAAAATGAATTTACAATTAAGGCTCAATCATGACACTAGGGATAAACCTTTTACAAGAAAAAGGGTTAAGGCTCAAAGAAAATCAAAGATGGCCTAAGATCCTTCGTAGATAAGCATGGGGAAGCATTGTACATATCAAGACAAAGTCAATCCATTACCCAAATGCATCTAGCCAAAACATGCATAAAAAGATTATTGAACAAATTTACAATTTGAAAATTTGTTCCTTGAGTAAATGTAAGTTTCCTCCAACAAGGATTGACACTAAAGCTCTCATGGGTCCCTACTCATCTCCACTATTCCTGTCAAGTACTAAAATATGAATCCAATCCATAAATTGTCAAAATTATACATTCATGGTACACTTAAGGTTGAGTTTAAAAGCAAATACATGTCATAGTCACGCATAGGATGAACTTCTAAAATGTGCTCATCTATTCAAGGATAACACAGTGTAATATGAGGTCCAGACGATACCCCCACCACCCCCCAAGAAAAAAATATTAGAGAAACACAAGAGAATATTAACGGGGGTTAATGCAAACCTAGCCTAATTCTGGGTCCTGGACAATAGTACCATTGCAGCAAAACTCCTTGAGGTCTTTAAGTATCTTATTGTAGCGGAATTCTTTCTTCAAACCCTGCACAGTTGTCAGGCTCTTCCGACCATTCCGCTGCTCTATACGGATGTGCACATACTCTTTTGATGACCCAGCACCAGAGTCCTCAGCATTTGCCTTAGCAAAGGGATCTAAAGAACAACATGAAGTAATGAATATATAAGCCTTCCAAAAGTATAGATCAATAAAAAAAACTCTCCATTCCCAACCCCCTCCCTCCCCTCCTTTATTAAAACCAAATTTTATTTATGTAAACAAGAATCCTTCCTTTCTATATTCTTCCTTGCACTTTTCCATATTCATATTCATTTACTTGATCATTTAGGAAAGAGAAAAGGGTCATGTACATTCTTAGAATTGATCAAAAGCAAATAGCAAATAACTAGACAAAACAAATCTACCATAGTTTGAAAAGGAGAGAAAAGGGGTGGAGGAACATATTTACCAAAAGAAGAAGGAATATGGGTGTCGAAATCAGGCATGAAACTTGGCTGATGAAATCAAAGAGTCCAAACACACAAAAATTAGCCTGTGCTTAGTTCAGATGCTCAGGCCTGGATAGAAGGAGAGGGTCACATTAGAATGAAAACACAAAATCATATTTTGAAAGCATGAAACAAAAGAACAACAATCTTTTTTAGACATAAAAAATACAAATAAGGAATGTCTCATGTTTTCAGCAGAAACATTATCAGAAATAGTTGAAATATTCAAAAGATAATCTTGACTGGGTGCCATCTAAAAAATAAGATTCAAGATGTCTTATTGTGCAACAATTCTGGACAGTTTCCACTTCGCCTATGTGCAACAAACATGCCAATTGAAGATATTACTTTCCCACTAAGGTAACCAAGGACATGAAAAATAAAAATATCACTTTTCCAATATTTTACACCAATTGGTAATTTTGTATCTCAAACATTTCCCAGAAAACTTGAACTCCCATAAGAAAAGTTCCAAGATTGAATAATCTAATCAAACCAAAAAGGCCTAAAGACAAGCAACAAAAGTAAAAAAAATAAAAAAAAAATTAAGAAACTACAACCCAAAGCCAATAAAACAGTATTGCTGTTTCACTATATATAGACTTTCAGAACCCATGATATTTCATACAAAACTCAGGNGGCCTAAAGACAAGCAACAAAAGTAAAAAAAATAAAAAAAAAATTAAGAAACTACAACCCAAAGCCAATAAAACAGTATTGCTGTTTCACTATATATAGACTTTCAGAACCCATGATATTTCATACAAAACTCAGGATTTTTTATCTAAGGCATTCAATCAAAACCTTCAATTTTTTATTTATTTATTTTGTGAACAGGAACACCTTCAATTTATAATCAGCCAAAAAGTATGTGTATGACCAAATTCATGTCTTTAAAAGCTAAAATCTGAAGTATTCTAATTCAGATTAACAAGAATTTGTTATATGATATATGAAACTCAATCAAATGCATACATTATAGAATCCAAGGACATGAAGGTACCCACTCCTCCTATATGCAACATACATGCGACTTGAATGTATTCCTTTTCCCATAAGTTGTTACCATCATGTCATCCAATGACATAAAAAAAATCAAAATATTACTTTTCCAATATTTTCCCCCTATTTGTACCTTATAAATTTCCCAAAAAGATTCCACTCCCATAAATACCAAACAATTGCATCTATTATTGATGGGAACACAATGTTTCTCAATAGCTTCCCCCCTAGATAGGCTCCATACCTGACATTCCAGCTGAAATAACATAATTGACCTATAGCAAAGACCCACTCCAGTCAAAGCAGAGAAACTCCAGTAGAGAAGGAATAGCTGCAATTCTCAAACTTTAGACCAAAACATCATACAGGCAGCTGGAACTCCTCCACAGTTGAGCTGAACTATTAATGCTACTACTGCAATATCCTTGTGGGCCTAAACCAACAGCTGCAACAAAAACCAGCTGAACAGAGACATGAACAGTACACGTTCACTGCTGTTCGCTAGAAGCTGCTGCTATTCGCTGAGCCTCTGTGTTCTTGCAAAGTTAACTCCAATAATTCAACTGCCAAAATCCAGCTATAAAAGAAAGGTTGAAATCCCAGACATGAGAGAAAATAATTAATCTGAATAGTTTCATGAACAGTAACGTGAACAGTCCATCTTAAGAATTCCTCGCAAAATGGACCCATTAAATCATAAAACTCAGCTGAATTATCAACCAACATTCCTCACTCTTAAAAAACGCATCTGCCTTTGATCTTGCTGCAACAGATTGTGTGCTTCAGATGGAAGAGAATTAGCCGAAATGATTTCCTTATAAGCACGTTCCTTTACTCCTAGGTTAGCTAGATAAGCACCATACAACTATTAGTTATACATTTTAAACACAAGAAAATTTATATTCCCAGGAATGTTCTGGTCAGAGTTGGAAGTGATTAAATTTATTTCCTAACTGGTGGTAGTGATGAAGGTGGCATGCTTGGAGGTGCTGGAAATATTGGTTTGCTACTAGAGGTGGAGGCAGCAATAGTGATGAAGTGGTGACATTGGGGTCGACAATTCAACTGTTTTTTTTTTGTGGTCTTGGGAATTTTTTAAACATAAAAACCAATTATGTGATTTGATGTGAAATTTCAAGTCCTATGGAGCAATTAAGTAGAAGTACATCACCTGAAGTCCATCCCAACTTGTCAGCATAAAATGCACTCCTTGGAAGGACTGTTTCAGTACTAATATCTTAGAGCGTACACTTCACTTTAAAAGATTTTCTAAGTGACAAGTTTTAATCAGCTTCCATTCACTCAAAATTATAAGAAATGGTAATACTTAGACTGAAACAATGTCATGAAAGACACTTGTACATTTATAAAAGCTAAAACATCTGGTAGTTGATAACCCATGTAAGAGATTTGCCTTTGCCTATATAAGTTCCTTCAGGTGTGCCGCTTCGGTTGAAGTGCTCAAATAACTCAATTATCCAATTGTGGTACCGTTACTCTATGCTATAATTCCTATGTAATAACTAAGATTTAGGATACAAAATTTTGCTGATTTTATGACAAAAACAAATTGGGAGACTATTAATCGGCATGAGCCACCTAATATCTATGCCAAAAACAAAGTCATAGTAATAATATTTTCAACTTACATGACCTGAGAAGACAATATCAACTTGGTATTGATACAGAAGTGATTCCATTTCCAACCTCATGCATTCAAATTCCTGGTAGTGTGAGGAGTACCTATTGTACCAAGGCGGATGCCATGCAGCTACAAGCCAAGGGGTCACACTGCGGAGTTGCTTTATCCAGGTTGTCTTTCAACCAAGCATATTGGGCACCTATATTTACAATGTGACAAACACTAAGACTGATACCAATGAAATCTTATAGTTGCAGTCGTGCTTTCAATCTCACGGGTGTCAAGTGAAAAATTAAAAAAAATGTATTATCAATTATGATATTCAATAATATTGATAAAGAGAATGGAATCAATCACCAGAACTGTTGTAGTCAACATATGCTCCCAACATGACGAAATGTACTCCTCTAGCATCAAAGGAGTAATAAAAGTTATTGTTGGAGCGAGACTCATTTGAAGGAATAGCAAATCTTGTAAGATATGATTTGAAAGTGATTCCGTCAGCTTGAGGCTCAATCTTATGGTTGGCTTCTATAACCATCATAGGAACTTTAGAGATAAGGGGCTCCATGAACCTAGATTTCTAATTTAATGTGTCAGTACACTGGAATGGATCGATTATTGCATATTATGCATCCGAATCCTTACAGCTTGTGCACGTCATGCACATGTAAGAAGTACCTTAACGTAACTAGTAAGAAGTATCTTCGTTATTCCATTCATGCATGTAAGGCATGAAACAAAAATGGAAGATAAGTACTCAAACTAAGAACATGTAGCTTGTATACTAGAACAAACTATAGTTGATGGAAAGGAAATGTGCATTGATACGTTCAATCAAGTCCCGTTCTCTATTCCTATTTTATAATAACATGAAGTCCTGCCTAAATTTTGCATGTTATAACAAAAGCATTCCTTGACATAATTATAGGAAGATCCCCTGATATTATAGCAATGACACATGTGACGCCATCTACTCGAACAATGAAGAAATATCAGGTTTGTCAATCTGTAATCACATATGTTGCCTTCAACTCCAAATAGAGCAAAGAACTGTTTATTGGTCAACAATTCCATCTTTTAAGCAGAAAACTTTAGTTATACATCTAATGTAATATGGCTAACCTTTCTGAATAAGTAAATCTGCAACATGATGCTGGAACAGTCACTGTTTACGTCACTGTTCACGTGACTGTTTAGCAGCTTAATTTCAGCAAAACATTTTACAGCCGATTTACCTTTCACTTGAAACACCAAACAGGTTGCATTGCTGAAATACATTACATCAGAGCAGGCTGCATGTGACCCAAAAGCAGGACAACACGAATTATTTAGATAGATAGATAGATAAATAAAACCTTGCCATATGTAGATAGATAGATAGATGGATAGATAGATAAAAATGCAATTACCTCCCCACTTTGCCGGATCCAATCGAAACGCTTCCAAAGAACATTTCTGGCACATGGATTCTGCCATGTCAATGTACCTGATAGCAAAATAGTCAATAAAGACTACACAGTGAAGAGCTATCCACTTTTGAAAAGCAACCAAGTATAGATTTTACCAGATTATCTTTCCAGCAACTAATACAGCTAAAAATGGTAAACAGCCTGCCAATGCCTTTCCTTCTACCATATTTCAAACAAATCAACACTTACGCCATATGGCCAAACAATTAACACTCATCATAACAAATGGGACTTAAAAGGCAAACCCCTCAAATAACATAGTAAAACAACAATCACACGTCAAAACCAAGATGGAAGCATACAATATTTTAATACATAAAAAAATATAATTCATCAGCCACGAATTATGAAGAAGTCCCGAATTCATCTGTTACAAAAAAAAATACATTAATAAATACTCAATTAATTTTTTGTTTTATACTTCTTAAGTGTTGAACTTAAAACGATAGTAAGAAGATACTTACTAAGACTCAGGTGGCATGTCTACATTAGTTGAGTTGCCCTGCAGAGCAAATTGCATTTGAAGTTGCATCTGCAAAAGTTTTTGCATCAGTTGTTGCTGCGCATCTTCAAACTTTTGCTGTGCTTCTTCAAACTTCTGTTGTGCTCCTTCAAACTTCTCTAGCTTATCTTTCGTTTCATCACGTTCCTTCTGAAGAGAATCAACAGTTGCTTGTAGCTCTTTTATCATATTAGCTTGTTCTACATACTTAGTAGTGGATCTGAATGAATGACTAGATGATGAAGGCTTCGGGCCATGTCCAAATCCTTTCTTATAACTAGATCTGCTACCAAGGACTGTGCATGCAATTTCATCCTGTGTCAATGGCTTTACAGCCTCTTCTAAGTTCTGTGTGGCCAATTTTTTCATCCGCTCCTACAATTTAATATATTTAAACCCAATTATTAAGTGTATGAAAAAAAATTTATTTAAAAAAAAAAAATTCCTACAAATTGAAATACTTACATATCTTGACTCTGCCTCATCAAAAACCCACTCATCCTTCTTGTTCACATGAGAATCATGGAAAAAATCAACAATGTGGGTTGGCTCATCAATCGTAGGGTCCCTCTGTTACAGTTAATCAAAATATCAATATTCAATTTTATGAATTTTCTATACATTAAAATTTAGGAAGCAAATGCTAAAGTATAACACTCTTTCATATAGTGCAGACTGAAAGGACTTTGAACCCATCGCGTGGTTGTATGGCAGTTTAGCATGATTTTTCGCATTTTTCTTAGATTTATCCTATATACAAAGAATATAATTAGTACACAATTAGGAATAAAAAGTGGATATTAATTTGCATAGCTTATAAAAGTTACCTGAAATTTTGGATCCTTGTAAAGTGTTTCAATTATATACTCTCAATCCTTCTGACTCACATCACCATATGGCTTGCTCTTGTGGTCAACACCGAACTCAACCAAATCCTTGTAGTGCATATGCATATAGTATCGATGGTCCCTGTACCTCGCAGCAAATTTTTTGTCGACAGCCTTCCTAACACTAACTTTTTCACGATAGNGTGCATATGCATATAGTATTGATGGTCCCTGTACCTCGCAACAAATTTTTTGTCGACAGCCTTCCTAACACTAACTTTTTCACGATAGTCTCTAATGTTAAACTTTGTCTACAACAAAATATAAATATACAAATTAAAACCATCGGTTGTAACACTCTACACAAATAAATATATTGTTGAAACCAAACTAATATATCCACTAACCAACAATCGTGCAATTAGTGGTGCCTTCTCCTCCTCTGTTATTTGCTTCCATGTGTGCACATTTCTAATAGGGGCAAACGTCCTTGCCAGTGAGCCAATCTCTGTCATCACCTTCGAAGAATGTACACCCACTGGAATGCTGACTCCACCAGGAATCAAAACTTCAAGGGGGCCATGAGATGCACACATACGCTCAGCATTTTTCCCTCTAGACGGTCCTCGACCTCATTTCTTGGTGGTAGAAGCTGCTGCGCAAACATTAAGTAAAAAATGTTAGCCCACCATATTAAGAAAAATATGTTTAGAAAGTAAAGTATGCATCAAACCTGTACTGCTACCCTCACTGCCTGCAATAGGTTGTGATGTAGGTGCATCAGATGATACACCCCTAACATGTGTACTCAAGGATGCACCCCTAGTAGGTGCCTCAGAGGATGCAACCTTACTAGCTGTTTTGGTGGCTCGGTGACCTGGTCCCATATATATAAAACACCTAACATATAGAAATATATAAATTATATCGACAATATCTAAGTAGCTCTCAAATATAAGTTATAATTTATTAATTACCATGAAAATATCTTAATAATTCATCTACATATCTGACTCTTCATTAGAATCAAAATGGACATTCACATCATTATCTTCTTCTGAATCGACATACTCAACTTGTGCCTCATCATTGTCATCACATATGAAATCATCAATGTTATTGTCTTCTCTGCTTCCCCACTGAACAATCCGGTCTTGATGAATGATTTCCCCGTCAAGATCAGTCCTATGAAGTTTACCTATTTCATTATCTTCGACCACTACCAGAGCAACCTCTGTTAATTCATCATGTTGGAATGCGTCACTTGGAACATACGATCCATTTTCACTAACTTCTACATCTTTGTTTTCAGGAACATCCCATTTTCCTCAATGATGTATGTGTTGCACAACTTGCCAATCTCTACCCAATTTTGTATCATGANTCACTTGGAACATACGATCCATTTTCACTAACTTCTACATCTTTGTTTTCAGGAACATCCCATATTCCTCGATGATGTATGTGTTGCACAACTTGCCAATCTCTACCCAATTTTGTATCATGAACATAAAATACTTGTTTCACCTGATTAGGTAGTACAAAAGGGTCATTTTGATACCATTTACTTTTCACATTAATGCTTGTAACATGAGCATCAATCTGAACTGTTTTCCCACTACCAAGGTTGAATCATTCACATTGGAATGAAAAAAAATACTATGGCCAAATATGTAACTCATCTCCCACACCTTATTTAAGTATCCGTAGAAGTTAATTGTTTTATTATTATGTTCTCCTTCTACAACAACCCCACTGTTTTGACTTTTTTGACGGTTGTCATGCTCTTTAGTGTGAAACCAGACACCATTGCATATTGCACCAGAGTACACTTTTATTGTCACATCAAGACCGTTTGCTAGTGACCACAATTCATCAGTTGCTTCAAGTGACCCTTCGCCTCGTAATTGATTCATGTAATGAATATGGATTGTTTTTATGGTTATACAAACTAATGCAAATAATGATTATAATCTAAATTTGTATAGCTTACATGTTTTGCAAACCACTTGGGAAATTCTGATTGGTGGCGACGAGTGATGTCACTATTTCTTTCCAACTCTAATATATTTTTGTGTTCCCTACATATAAAACCATAAATTTGACATATAACAAATTTTAAACAATTAAAAAGTACAATGAGAATACTCACAAATATGTATATTTAACATACACATACTCTAGATACGGATCCAGTTCGGGACTATTATGTAGGACAAACCAATGAGCCATCTCTCGTTCCTGTTGAGAGACCTCAGTTGCTCTTGTAATTCAACCAAAAGGACAAACATTTTGGGTGGACACAGCTAACCCATGCACATTTTCAACTCGATCTGCATTTCGTTCCTTATGATTAAAAACTGTTTCGATATGAGTAAGATACATCGAGCAAAAGATAATACATTCTTTGACAATATAAGCCTATGCAATTGAACCTTCTAGACGAGCTCGATTACTAACATATCCTTTTAAAGTTCTGAGATACCTTCAGTTAATTACAAAACATATAAGGAGGTAATACCAAAACCAAACAAGAAGCAAATAACAATTTTATTGCCTTACCTTTCTATTGGGTACATCCACCGATACTGCATGGGTCCAACAATCTTGGCTTCCCTTGGCAACTGAACTACTAAATGAACCATAACATCGAAGAATGCTGGAACAAATATCTTTTCTAACTTACAAAGAATAAGTATTATGTTATCTTGTAATGCATCCAAGTCTTTTACCATCAATGTCTTTGCACAGATTTGTTGAAAAAATTTTCCCAG